ATTCCTGCTTGCTTGAAACAGACAAGAGTTCTTTCCCTCACCTGGACATCATTCCACAGGAATATGTATGTATGTATGTGTGTGTGTGTGTATATATATATATCGGGAGTCCCCGGTGGCGCAGTGGGTTAAAGCGCTGAGCTGCTGAGCTTGTTGATCGAAAGGTCGCAGGTTCGATTCCGGGGAGCGGCGTGAGCTACCGCTGTCAGCCCTAGCTTCTGCCAACCTAGCAGTTCGAAAACATGCAAATGTGAGTAGATCAATAGGTACCGCTCTGGCGGGAAGGTAAGGGCGCTCCATGCAGTCATGCCGGCCACATGACCTTGGAGGTGTCTACGGACAACGCTGGCTCTACGGCTTCGAAATGGAGATGAGCACCACACCCCGGAGTCAGACATGACTGGACTTAATGTCAGGGGACTACCTTTACCTTTTTTATATATATATATATATTTCCGTGAGTTTTCCAGGCCGTCTGGCCGTGATCCAGAAGCATTCTCTCCTGATGTTTCTCCCACATTTATGTCAGGCATCCTCAGAGGTTGTGAGGTCTGTTGGAAACTAGGCAAGTGGGCTGGACATTCTACAGATATATCAACCCCACTTGCCTAGTTTCCAACAGACCTCACAACCTCTGAGGATGCCTGCCATAAATGTGGGAGAAACATCAGGAGAGAATGCTTCTGGATCACGGGCAGACGGCCTGGAAATCTCACAGAAACCCAATAAATATTCGTCTTGGGCCTCGTTTATTGCTCCTTAATAACTTAACTTGGAAAGCTTGTATCCAGGCTTTGGAGTCGGCCCAAGAAAGGTATTGCCGCTCGTGGGTTTGCTATTTTGTTGCCTTCTGTTGCCAATAAATCTCGTATTTCTGTTTCCGAATGGCTTCTGGAGAACGTTGAGAGCTCGGTTCCTTTTTTCTCCAGGCGCCGAAGATGTGAAGAGGTGGGAGCCGGGCTCTTTTCAAAGCCTCCTTTCAGGAACAAAAGGCCAGTCCTGCTGAGGTTGGGCATTTCAAAGGGGCCTTTCAAGCCATTTCCGGTCCCTTTCTGCCATTTTCTAACACCACAGACCCCATTCGGAGATCTATTGAGAAGGAAGGGAAGTTCAGAAATCCAACCCATCGATTCCTCATCGCTATGGCTTCGGGCCTGTTGGCTTCGGAACTCTCTTTCGCTCTCCATTCGTGCCTCGTCGAATTCCGCATCACTGCTGGTCTCAGCTGACTTCCAGTTAGAGCGCTCAAGGGCCAGGGCTTCCCAGTTCTTTCTCAGTGTCTATGCCACAGTTTTAAAGGTTGGCTTTAAGCCCATAGCTTACTTTACTTAGGCGGTCCCTCGTAGCCAAGGATGATGGTCCTCCAGGTGTAATAATAATAATAATAATAATAATAATAATAATAATCTATATAAATAAAAATGTAATGTTCGTTCGTGGGATTAACAGAACTCAATAACCACTGGACGAATTGACACTAATTTTGGACACAAGACACCTAACAACCCAATGTATGTCCTTCACTAAAAAAAAAATTGATTTTGTCATTTGGGAGTTGTAGTTGCTGGGATTTATAGTTCACCGACAATCAAAGAACATTCTGAACACCACCAACGATGGAATTGAACCAAACTTGGCACACATTTCTCCCATGGCCAACAGAAAACACTGGAAGGGTTTGGTGGGCAGTGTCCTTTGGTTTTAGAGTTGTAGTTCACCTACATCCAGAGATCACTGTAGACTCAAACAACGATGGATCTGGACCAAACTCTACACGGATACTCAATATGCCCAAATGTGAACACTGGTGGAATTTGGGGGAAATAGAATCTTGACATTTGGGAGTTGTAGTTGCTGGGATTTATAGTTCACCTACAATCAAGAGCATTCTGAACCCCGCCAACGATGGAATTGAACCAGACTTGCCACACAGTTCTCCCTCATCAAGCCCTATTCTTGATCCTTGTGTTCTCCCGCAGTGAGGACATTGGTTTCTGGTCAGGGTTGACTTGACGTGCCTTCCTCTTGGCACGCATGGTTCTCCCTTTCACCCTCCATTCGTGCCTCTTCGAATTCCGCAGCACTGCTGGTCACAGCTGACCTCCAATCAGAGTGCTCAAGGGCCAGAGCTTCCCAGTTCGATCTCGGTGTCTATGCCATAGTTTTTAAGATTGGCTTTAAGCCCATAGCTTACTTTAATTAGGCAACCCCTCGTAGCCAAGGATGATGGTCCTCCAAGTGTAGTGTCTTGGTGGTGGGTCCGTATGTGGCTGTGGAGCCCTATTCTTGATCCGCATGTTCTCCTGCAGTGAGGACACCAGTTTCCAGATGGAAGGCGGTCCCAGTAAGGGTTGGCTTGACACACCTCCTTCCTTTTTGCACGGTTCTCCCTTTTGCCCTCTATTTGTGCCTCTTTGACTTCTGCAGCACTGCTGGTCACAGCTGACCTCCAGTTAGAGTGCTCAAGGGCCAGAGCTTCCCAGTTTTCTCTTACTGTCTATGCCACAGTTTTTAAGGTTGGCTTTGAGCCCAATCTCTTTTCCTGTCCACAACATTATGTTTTCCATTCTTTCACTGGGTGTAGAGTAACTGCTTTGGGAGACGGAGTTGATGGCATTTGGGGGGAACTAACTTTCCTTTCTGGGAGTTGTAGTTCACCCACAACCTGAGAAATGGTGATCTCCCTCAATGATAGACCTGGACCAAACTCGGCATACAGAACCCGCATGACTAATTCAACCTACTGGAGGGGTTGGAGGGGACTGACTCACCATAGTGGGAGTTGTAGTTTACCCTGCAGCCAGAGAGCACAATGAATTGCACTGATGATGCATTTAGAGGAAACTTACCCAACATAACAAACTTGAAGTACTGATGGAATTTCTCGGGGTTAACTTGGCATGATGGGAGTTGTAGTTCACCCACAACCGTATTCATTTAGTACAATTAAATATTGACTTTTAATTTTCAAATAATCTGGGCAATGTCGGGTACCCAAGCTATTTAATAATAAGAATAAGAATAACAATAATAATTGTAGGTTGGGAGGAAATTCTAGTGTGCTGTGTGTGTATATATATAGTGTGTATATTTAGTGTGTGTGTGTATATATATATATATATAGTGTGTGTATATATAGTTGTGTGTGCGCGCATGTATATATATTATATTTATGGTGTGCGTATATATATATATATATATATATATATATATAGTGTGTATATATAGTTGTGTGTGTGTATATATATTATATATATGGGGTGTGTATATATATAGTGTGTATATATAGTTGTGTGTGTGTGTATATATATATATGTATATATATATATATATATATATATATATATATATATGGGGTGTGTATATATATATAGTGTGTATATATAGTTGTGTCTGTATATATTATATATATGGGGTGTGTATATATATATGGTGTATATATATAGTGTATATATATAGTTGTGTGTGCGTGTGTGTGTATATGATATATATAGGGTGTGTATATATATATATATATATATAGTGTGTATATATAGTTGTGTGTGCATGTGTATCTATATATATAAATCTGTAGGGGGCGTCGTACGGCGTCGCATAACTCCACAACCCCCCAACGAAACTGAACCAAAATTCCCATGCCCCTAGGACAACCCACTCGCTACAAACTAATCTACTCCAAAGTAAAGAAAACACAACTGCAACGACGAAAACACCACAAAACAACTGAACATGCGCACTGGCGCAAACTCCCCGGCACGCGCGCACCCGCCGCCCCTCGCCCCCCCCCCGGCGGCACACACGCGCGCGCGGCGGAAACTCCCCGCCACGCGCACACCCGCCGCCCCTCACCCCCCCCCCCGCGGCACACGCGCGCGCGTCGGAAACTCCCCGCCACGCGCGCACCCGCCGCCCCTGCCCCCCCCCGCGGCACACACGCGCGCGCGGCGCAAACTCCCCGCCACGCGCGCACTTGCCGCCCCTCACCCCCCCTCCCCCGCGGCATTACCGTTGAAAGGGACAGTCCAGAAGAAATGAGAGAAGAAGGGAAAGAGAAGGAATGAAGGAGCCAAAGGGGGAAGGAAGGAGAAAAGGAAATAAAATTAAAGGAAACAGAAGGAAGGAGAGAAAGACAGAGGGAGGGAGGGAGGGAAGGAAGGAAGGAAGGAAGGAAGGAAGGAAAGAGGGAACGAGGGAAAGGCCGACGGCGGGCCAGGAGGGGCCCGGCTCCGCCTCTGCCGCCTCCTCCTCGCCAGGGGGATCCAAGACAGAGAGAGTTCCCTACTACCGTTCCTTCCAGACAGGGGTCTGGCCCGCTGTCATACCGGTTGTGGGTCCACCACCAGAGTCGGCCACAACATCACGGAGGGGAAGGGGGAGGCAGAAACAGAACGAAGGGAGGAATGAGGGAGGGAGGGAGGACGAGAAGGAAGGAAGGAAGGAAGGAAGGAAGGAAGGAAGGAAGGAAGGAAGGAAGGAAGGAAGGAGAAGGAGGAGGAGAAGGAAGGAAGGAAAGAAGGAAAGACAGAAGACATAAAGGAAGGAAGGAAACAAAAAAGGAAGGAAGGGAAGCAGAAAGGGAAGACTGAAATGGGCCACAGCAACGCGTGGCAGGGTACAGCTAGTATATTATATATATGGTGTGTGTGCGTGTATGTATATATGGTGTGTGTGTACACATATACAGTGTGTATATATAGTTGTGTGCGCACGTGTGTGTGTATATATTATATATATGGTGTGTGTATATATGTATATGTGTATGTATGTATGTAGATAGATAGATAGATAGATAGTGTGTATTTATAGTGTGTGTATAGAATCTAAAAGGACCCACAAGTTCACTGCTTATTTACAGGGTGATGGTGGTCAACTGCTGTTTCCAGGAGGGTCCTGTGGACCACAACAATGGCTTTGTGGCGCCATATGTAACCCGTGGGTTGCCCGATTCCCACTCCTGTCCTTGCCCCTTCTCCCACCCTTCCTCCACGCTGCCCACTCACCTGGGTGACGCTGTCGCGCATGGTGGGAGAGCGGCCGCGCCGCGTGGTGGTGGTGGCCATGGTGGTGGTGGTCTCCATGATGGTGGTGGACATGTCCGCCAGCAGGGTCGTGGCCGTGGTCTCCGTGGTCATGACGGAGGGCACCTCGCCCACCAGCCGCAGGTTCCCCTCCACCTTGACGTTGGGGTCGCTCTCGGCCGCCAGGGACAACACCTTGAGCCCATTGTAGTACAGCCCCGAGATCTGGCCCTGGAAGGGGCGGCCCTGGTCCCGGCCCCCGATCTTGATGGCGGCCTGGCTGTTAAAGATGGTCAGCTGGCGACCTGGTGAGGGAGAAGGACGGCATGGAAGGGGGCGAGGGGCAGGCAGAGAGAAGCGGGAGAGGTGAGTCCGGCGCTTGCCACTCGCAGGGGCTCAGCAGATAGGGCACGCAGGCCGCTCAAGAAGGACACTCCACCCCACTCGTTCAGCCCTACCTTCGTGGCACCTGGGTGGACCTGTGGGCCTTGCTTGTCTACGCTTCCATCTATCTATGGAATCTATCTTCTACTTACCTATCTCCCATCGTTCCAGTAACCTATCTTCCATCTTATCATTTCCCTTCCTTCCTTCTACTCTATCATCTATTTGGTTATCGACTAAGCCAGCCTCTCCTCCTCCCTCTTGTCTATCTATCTATCTATCTATCTATCTATCTATCTATCTATCTATCTATCTACGTATCTACGTATCTACGTATCTACGTATCTATCTATCTATCTATCTATCTATCTATGTATCTACGTATCTACGTATCTACGTATCTATCTATCTATCTATCTATCTATCTACGTAACTATCTATCTATCTATCTATCTATCTATCTATCTATCTATCTATCTATCTGCCCATTTATCTATGCATGTATGTTTGTTTCTATGTATCTATATATCTATCTATGTATCTATCTACCTATATATCTATGTATCTATGTGTATGTATGCATCTATGTATGATTCTATGTATCTATCTTTGTATCTATGTATCTACGTATCTATCTATCTATGTATCTATCTATCTATCTATCTATCTATCTATCTATTTATGTTTCTTTGTGTCTATCTATGTCTCTAGGGATGTATCTTTGAGTATGTATGCATCTATGTATGTTTCTATGTATCTATCTACATATGTATGTACGTATCTATCTATCTATCTATCTATCTATCATCTACCTATTTATCTATGTATGTATGTATGTATGTTTCTATATATCTATCTATGTATCTAGACATGTATCAATCTATGTATGTATCTATCTACCTATTTATCTATGTATCTGTGTATGTATGTATCTATGTGTGTTTTTATGTATCTATCTATGAATCTATCTATCTATCTTCGTATCTATCTATGTGTCTATCTACCTATTTATCTATGTATCTATGTATGTTTCAGTGTATCTATGTATCTATCTACCTATTTACCTATGTATCTATGTGTATGTATACATCTATGTATGTTGCTATGTATCTATCTACATATCTATCTATCTATCTATTTATTTATCTATGTATGTATCTATGTATGCATCTATTTATCTATGTATGTATCTATGTATGTATCTATTTATATATGTATGTATCTATGTATGTATCTATCTACCTACCTACCTATTTGCTAAACCCCATCCTCTCTATCATCTGTCTCCTTACCGAGCCACCCTTCCCTCCCTTGGTTGCATCTATGGATCTATCTCTACCTTCCTTCTTCTTACCTGTCTAACTACCTAGACATCCTTCTCTTCCATCCTACTATTTTCCTTCCTTTCTTCTACTCTATCATCAATCTGCTTACCTACTAAGCCGGCCTCTCCTCCCACTCTTGTCTGTCTATCTCTCTCTCTCTCTCTCTCTCTCTCTCTCTCTATCTACCTACCTACCTACCTACCTATTTGCTATCTATCCTCTGTCTCCTTACCAAGCCATCCTTCCCTCCCTTGGCTGCATCTATGTATCTATCTACCATCCTTCTTCTTACCTACACTCCTACCTAGCAATCCTTCTCTTCCATCCTACCATTTTCCTTCCTTCCTATCATCTATCTGCTTACCTACTAAACCAGTCTCTTCTCCTCCATCTAGTCTCTCTCTCTCTCTCTCTGTCTCTCTGCCTGCCTGCCTGCCTGCCTGTCTATGTATCTATGGATGTACCTACCTACCTACCTATGGATCTAGGTATGTATATATATATGTATCTATCCACCTGTCTATGTATGTATGCTTCTATCTATCTATCTATCTATCTATCTATCTATCTATCTATCTATCTATCCATCCATCCACCTACCTACCTATGTATCTATCTATGTAGCTATCTACCTACCTAGCTATCTATGTATGTATATATGTCTCTATCTATGTATCTATGTATGTATCTACCTACCTACCTACCTACCTATGTATCTAGGTATGTATCTATCTATGTAGCTATCTACCTATGTATGTATGTATGTATGTATCTATCTGTCTGTCTATCTATCTATCTATCTATCTATCTATCTATCTATCTATCTATCTTTCTTTCTTTCTTTCTATCTATCTATCTATCTATCTATCTATCTATCTATCTATCTATCATCTATCTATCTATCTATCTATCTATCTATCTATCTTTCTATCTTTCTATCTATCTATCTATCTATCTATCTATCTATCTATCTATGTATCTATGTATGTATCTACCTACCTACCTACCTACCTACCTACCTACTGACATATGTATGTAGGTATGTAGCTATCTACCTATGTATATATGTATATATGTATCTATCTATGTATCTATGCATGTAGCTATCTATCTATCTATCTATCTATCTATCTATCTATCTATCTATCTATCTTCTACCTACCTACCTATATATCTAGGTATGTATCTATCTACCTATGTATATATATATATGTATGTATGTATGTATCTACCTACCTACCTAGTTGCTAAACCCCTTCTTCTCTATCATCTGTCTCCTTACCAAGCCACCCTTCCCTCCCTTGGTTACGTCCATGTATCTATCTCTACCTTTCTTCTCCTTGCCTCCACTCCTACCTAGCCGTCCTTCTCTTCCATCCTGCCATCTTCCTACCTTCCCCCCCCCCCTCTCATCTATAGGCCTCACTTGAGATGGCGTTGCTACGTGTGCCAATTCAGGCCCCTTTGTGCCTCCACGTCCCACTGACCACCAAACCCGAACCAATCGAATGCAATCTTGACTCTCTACATCCTTCTCTCATCTGTCTCCTCAGCCTTTATTGCAATGGGATAAAGAGGCGGTGGAAGAAGAGACAGATATGAAAGCGAGACCTTTCTTTGCTCGTCTGTCTTCCTGGCTGCCCGACTGTCTCCTGAGCCCATGCATCATTTCTGAGTGCTCCCCTATGGAGGCATATTGGCTACCCATCTCCCTTTCTGGACTATCAGATTCTCTGCCTCTTGTCAAAGAGTGAGCGAGAAAAAGGGGAGCCCATATCGGTCGGGACCCTGACAACGATGCCGGGTGAGTATTTGTGTTTTGGTATAAAAAGTGGTCGTAACAGCCCAATCTTGGATGCTCGGTTGGGAATCAACCACCAAGAGCCAATGGGGCACCTTGACTCTTTTTCCAACCCTGACAAGGAAGGTTTTCGAGTTCCCAATAATGATCTGGAGCCAGTCATACAGTTATAGTGCTATAATTCTGTCTTAACTACCATGGCTGCATCCTGTGGGACTTGTAGTTTGGTGAGGCAGGAGAGGTTCAGTCTTTGTGCCATAAAGTCACCAACAGACTTATGGAAACCCTATGTTTTCCTAAAAACAACACTCAGGTGTAGTTTTTGGCAGTTAAGGTAAGGTAAAGGTGTTCCATTAATGTCAAATCTAATCATGCCTGACTCTGGGGGTGGTGCTCATTTCCATTTCTAAGCCAAAGAGCTGGCGTTGTCCATAAACACCTCCAAGGTCATGTGGCCAGCATGACTGCATGGAGTGACGTTACCTTCCCGCAGAAGCGGTACCTATTGATCTACTCACATTTGCATTTTTTTAACTGCTGGGGCTAACAGTGGGAGCTAGGTGGTGCTCATCTCCATTTCTAAGCCGAAGCGCTGGCGTTGTCCATAGACACCTCCAAGGTCATGTGGCCTGAATGTCTGCATGGAGTGACGTTACCTTCCTATTGATCTACTCACATTCGCATGTTTTTGAACTGCCGGGGCTAACAGTGGGAGCTCACCCCACTTCCTGGATTCGAACTACCAACCTTTCAGTCAGCAGGTTCAGCAGCTCAGTGGTTTAATCTGCTGTGCCACTGGGTGCTCCTTCCTCTAAATGAATCCTACAGTATTTGTTGGTCGCCTCCCATCAAAATACTGATCCTGCCTTGCTGGGGCTAACAGCAGGAGCTTACCCCACTTCCTGAATTCGAACTGCCGACCTTTCGGTCAGCAAGTTCAGCAGCTCAGCGGTTTAACCTGCTACACCACTGGGTGCTCTTTCCTCTGAAATGAATCCTATGGTATTTGTTGGTTGCCTCCCATCAAAATACTGATCCTGCCTTGCTGGGACTAACAGCAGGAGCTCACCCCACTTCCTGGATTCGAACTGCCAACTTTTCAGTCAGAAAGTTCAGCAGCTCAGCGGTTTAATCTGCCACACCACTGGGTACTCCTTCCACTGAAATGAATCCTACAGTATTTGTTGGTCGCCTCCCATCAAAATACTGATCCTGCCTTGCTGGGGCTAACAGCAGGAGCTCGCCCGACTTCCTGGATTCGAACTGCTGACCTTTCGGTCAGCAAGTTCAGCAGCTCAGTGGTTTAATCTGCCACACCACTGGGTACTCCTTCCACTGAAATGAATCCTACAGTATTTGTTGGTCACCTTCCATCAAAATACTGATCCTGCTTTGCTTCCAAGATAAGATGGATCTGGTGCCTTTAGGCCGGGCTTTAGCACAGCGGGATAAACCGCCAGCTGCAGAAAATCTTGTCGATCAAAAGGTCGTCAGTTCAAGCCTGGGTTGGGGTGAGCTCCCAACCGTCAGCCCAGCTTCTGCTCACCTAGCAGCAATGTGAGTAGATAAATAGATACCGCTTTGGTGGGGAGGTAATAAAAGGTGCCCGTGCGGACATGCTAGTGATTCGATCAGAAGAGCGTCTAAGGACAGCAAAGCCCCTCGGCATGGAAGATGGAGCAATAGCACCTCTCTGAAGCCTCCAGATGCCGGAGATGGGAAAAAAGGGAAGCCATCTGTCATAGAATCATAGAATCAAAGAGTTGGAAGAGACCTCATGGGTCATCCAGTCCAA